GGAATTGGGGGAGGGGGAGGCTCCTCGCAGACCAGCGCCCAGACTAAGGCAATATCAGCTGGCTGCGAAATACTGGAAAAGGGATCTATCAAGCAACTGTCTCTTTCCAAGATTTGCTTTATAATTCATCTCTAGTCGGGTGCTGCTATCTTACTCAACTGAAATATCTGTAACCAACCGTTTCATGCATAAGTCCCTCAAAAAAGGCCGAAAATATGTGAGAATGTCAGAAACCTATCTCCTCGTACCGCACACGCGGCAAAACAATGGTCTTGAATAACAACACTCTGTAGCCGGAAACAAGTCCAGACAATGATGTGTGAGCGGGCTCTATATGTGAAGTCGGTGCAAAAGTGTTTCAGAAAATGTTGCGAAAAAATCAGAGAATAGAAAGGGCCCGCACTATTTTTTTTCTTTTTCGCGCCACTTCTTTCTTTCCTGTTAAACTATAACGCCATTCTTGGAGAAAAATTCTGAAGGACTCGGTCTGCTTAAGCGTCTCTGATAAATATAAGTTTTAGTCCATCAAGTGTGTAACTTAAACACTTGCAAGTGTTTTTCCAGTTTGATGTGCTCATACAATTTTTGCAACTTGAGGGCTGCGCATCTACAAGTGTTCAACCGATTGTGCAATTATTTAGTTGGATACGTCCCAAGCAGATTTACTTACGCCAAAAAGTATTCAACTACAGTTCTCTCCCTAGGAAGTTCAACACTTCTAGTAACGCAACTATCAACTTGCACTTTTGAGGTGCTCAACAACTTCACAACACGCTTGCAACGATTTAACAATTGTTAAATTGTTGGCGTCACACACTTTAAAGTGTTCAAGGGATGGACACTTGACTTATTAGTGATGGCGTCGGCCACCAGCTTCCATACGCAGCAAAACTGATGGCTGCATTTTTTTTCGGCTTCCCAAATACGGGTCCGTTTCCAAATCGCGTATCTCGAATGGATTTGAATAAGTAGAGAGATGAGAATGGGCAGCATTAGTCTGGCTGGTCCCTTATTGATGTGCGGAGACCTAAACGCCGGGGGCAGGCCGGGCGGGGCGGGCGGCGCCGCGCTCCCGACACGCAACACGCACGCGGCGAGACAATGGGCCGATACCGCTCTGATGGGGACCGCTCTGTCTGACTGTCTGCCGCGAGCTGCGGGGCGACGGCCGGACAATGCATCAGTGCCTTATTGCCCAATAACACTCGCGGAGTGGCATATCCGGGCCGACGCGAGGCTTCAGGTCATGAAACAGATCTGATGGGGCCCGCGCGGTTGTGGGCAAGCCCCGCGGGCGAGGGGGGCATCACTTCAAAAACGGAAGTCGAAAGGTGACTCAAGGACTGCAAAATGACTGGACGACGTGACTGAGGAATCACTGAATTTGACAAGAGCAGGAACTGGATCAGAGGTAGAAATTTTGAAGGATGTAAAGCACGTGATATTCTCGGATATTCTGCAATTTTCATTATATTTCGAAGTACTTAAATAAGTCAAGTCATACGACTTTTAGACTTTTCTTTTCCTGTGACTGGAAAATGACAAGATGTGACTATGAAAGTGACTGGTGGCTGGTCAGAGAGGCGTTCACTGACTGGCCGAAGTGATGTCCTCCGAGGGACAGCCGCCCCGGCAGAGGCCTCGCACCTCGTTAGCCTGCCACGGCGCCTCGCCCATCGATCTTGATGTAAAGCGCTCCATTATATTACTATTTCAGAGAAAGCACCGCCGCGCCGCTCCCGGAGCCCCTCCTCCTCTTTTACGAGCCGCTCGAGCAGAGCGGCGGGGATTGGAATCCACCAGCACATCGTAAAAGCAATGTCTTTTGCGGGGGAATTAGGTCCCCGCTGATAAGGAGATAAGGGCGCGAGTCATTTGAATCATCCTGCTGCCGCTGCCGCCGCGCCGCTTCCAGGAAACACTGCCTGGCGCGACTCTCCATCCTCGCGCGACTGTAATTCCCCGCGCGCGATACGGGCGGCGGGAGATGCGCGCCTGCAGATTGTGCGTCTGCTGCGCTCTGCACTTTCGGTAGTGCTTGTGGGAGGGGGGGGGGGGCTTCTGATTGCGTGCGGGCCACCAGAGCACAGGACCAAACGGGCATGCTAATAGAGGCCCGACTGTGCGAGCCTTGTGTGTGTGTCAAGGCCCGTGTGTGCTTGTGAACAGTGGACACTACCATGTCGTGGTCGGGGGGTTAAGACATTGAATGAATAAGACGACTCCCAAACGGGGAAGCGTGATTCATATTTTGCGCACACCTGCACAACATGGGGCACGCATTGTCTGTAAACCGTGATACCCTTTCCTTTAGTTTGCTTACTGTGCCGCATGCAGGGGGCGGGCGGGCTTGCCTACCGCGTCGCTCACCACTCAACTCTAAGAAAATGAGTGTATAAACCATCCAAAAAAATCACCCAAGAAAATCGGAAGAGAACAAAATCAGAAAAATTAAGGTAAAATGAGAAAAATCGAGGAAAGGCAGAAAAAAATGTTGAACATATTGTGAGGTACCCCTGGGGTTTGCCCCTGTAGGGGCTTATCCCAGCAGTCGATTTCATCGCCGGGCCTGACGCCCCCGCCGTCCCGCGCCCCGCCGGCGACCCGACTAATAATAATATATTTCCGCGCGCAGCGTGGCGCCGCCCGGCGCCGCCTTGTTCTCTGTGTTATTGGAGCAGACTCGGTGTTCCCATGAGCCAGAGGCACGCAGGGCCGGCGCGGCCTGTTCCCGCGCGCGCGCGCGCGTGTGTGAGTGAGTGAGTGAGTGTGTCGCTCTAGTTGGGCGGGCTGCTCCGCGGGGCTCCGGGAGGCGGCAGCTGATCCCTAATCCCGTGCGGCGTTACCCGACTGCAACAGGTCTCCACGCTTCCCCCACCCCTCCCGCTCGCTCGCCGTGCTCCCTGCCGTGCCGTGCCGCCCAGGCACTGATTTAGGCGCCCAGCCGCCCGCGGACATGAGGTGACTCGTGTTCGCCACGAGAGCGCCTTTTGGTCGTTGTAAAGATCACACCTTCAAATACCGACGCACCGCGAAAGCTTTCGGCTGAGCTGCAGGCGCGCGGCTCCGTCCACCGCGCCGGTAAGAAATCTCCCAGCTACGTCCAGGTGCCTTTCCCAGCCCGCCCACACCGCGCCGGTGGTCTGCCTTCTCTCTCTCTCTCTCTCTCTCTCTCTCTCTCTCTCTCTCTCTCTCTCTCTCTCTCTCTCTCCGCTACGGTGTCTTTCTCTCTCTCGTTGCGAACGCGACCCTCACTTCGCGCGCCAAAAACAATGCAGTCGCCATCTTGGATTTTCTCACGTTTGGCTGACACGAGAGAAGGGGAGGAGGGCTTTCCTCACAACTTTTCGTACCCTTTTTTTTTTCATTCTTCTGCTTTGCTTCCGCCCCACGCGACAGGCGCCGGGGGTCGGTTAGGGGTCGGTACAGGTCGAAAGGTGTAGGCAGCACAATATGTTCGGGTAGAACGCGCGGCACGAAATGGCAAATTCTTAAAACTACAATTAACGTTTAATTCTGCTTTTAAGAATAGTTTGTAAACCTGACAGTTGCTTTCGTATTATTTTGATTTTTGATTTGAAATCACACCCTGTTCACACTCCAGGAAAATCGTTTGTTGTTTACAAAATCATTCCTAACAGTTCAGGGTTTAGTGAAAGCCAAGTGCTCTTACGTTCGTAGGTTTGGGTAAGACTGCGTGTGCTCGCGTAGATAGGTTGGGTTTAGTTAGACTGCGCGTGCTCGCGTAGGCAGGTTTGGGTTAGACTGCGTGTGCTCTCGTATGTAGGGTTGGGATTGGCCTCGTGTGCTCGCAGGGTTACGTGTCGCCCGGCGCGCGCGCCTCGGGATTAGGGGTTCATCTGTTACGTCAGACTGAGGTGCTGGAGTAAGGTTAGGGCGCTCCGGGCTCGGCCGAACTCGGGGCAAGGTTGTGTGGTGTCGGCGAGGTTAGGCTAAAGGTTTTGCGAGAAAGGGGCGGAGAGAAAGGGTAGAGGAAGGCGATGGGGCGCGAGGAGGGGAGCTAGAGGGAGGTTACTCACACAGTGGCAATCAGAGACGCAGCCGCCGCTAACTTCGTCCACGTGCCCCCCCCCCCCCTCCTCACTTGACGTAACGGTCAGCACGGGCCGCCCAGCAGCGGCTGATGACCACCGCACAGCCACTTTCACAGACGGGTGCCTGGTGCGTAGCGCCAGGTGCAGGTCACACAGGCCGAGGTGCAGCAGAGGGGGGTACAGTACGTTTGGCCAAGTGTCGTCTGTAAAAACACGGGCCCCGGGCGCCCGCACAACAGTGTCGGTTGCTGTAAAACCCATTTAAAACAGTGTTGTCTATGAAAATATAGGGAAACATGAACCGAGGCACTTACACGGCATTTCGAAAGTGCGACGAAGACCTCACACGCACACGTCAGATGCAGTTTACCCCTTCCCCCTCCCTCCCTCTGCTACCGCACGCACCCTCTCTTGTGCACCCGTGCCCATAGGCGATGCAGAGGTGGGTATAGAGAACCTATACACAGAGGGGAAAGAAAAAAAAGACAACAAAATAGGTCCGCGATCCCGGTGGTCATAAAAGCCTTTGATGAGGCTGCCGCACTCCAAGCGGCGCCTTCCTGGACCTGTGCATGGAGGCGGCTGGGCCGGGCGGAGGCTCTTAGAAGCGCCCCTCGTGCCAGCCCGGTCAGCGGCGTCGGGTGTCTCGAACAATGTTATAGGGACGACCGTAAAAACGACGGCTTGATGGCCGAGTCCAGCCAGGAAGGCGCTGTTGGTTGTTTTGGTCGCAAATCGACCTGTAAGCCATCGAAACCTATCTCCCGACACTTCTAGTGGTATGACCTTTTAGGAAGCGGGGCTTTCTGAATCCATTGTACGGCACGCATCCTTGTAATCTATGCCTTGTGTTCTATGTTCTAGCACCGTTCATGACCAAGCGTCACAATAAAGAATTAGTGTCATAATTATATTCCAAGTTTCCCGGTGTTTTTTTGTTGGCAGGCCTGCTGGCGATACTCCCCCGGCCCGGAGGGGGTACTTCAACAACGGAACCGCCCAGAGTGAGTATTTTATCACATAGGGTGGGCCACCGTCGCTCACCGTGCGTAAGTAAGTTCGTCCAGTTTCCTCAGTTTCATTCGGCCAATTGCGGGAGCTAGGCGCCTGTGAGACGCAGGGTAGGCCACCCCGCAACACACGCATGCACTGAAGGGAATATGTTGCCTACTCACCAGGCGCTCCGAGAGCTTGCCAAGGCAGGTCCGTATCGGCGAATTAAGGACGTACTTTCTGGATGATACCGTAACACAACCGCACATTATTGTTTTTAGTATTTTAGAAGTAAGATTTTTTTTATTGCTTTATGTATCGACCTAGTTTTGTTTGACAGGCAAGAGTTGGCCGTCGTAAATTTACGACTGCGTTCGTGGATTTTGCAACATGGTTTTTTATTTGAAAATTATGAAAAATGTTGAAAATGTACGGATATTTCTACATTGTCGGCTCCTCATTTATGTGTAAATTTGTTTGGCATAACGATGTGTCGACGCAGTACTTCACGTTACTGTGCCTTATGTCACGATGAGCTTGTTTCACGACTGGCACCCATACCGACCTAAATAAAGTATTCCCACGACGGAATCGTTAGCTCTAATAACGTAGACTTGGTGCGGGGCGGTGACGTCTTCCTCTTCAGTCACGCCGGCTCACGACGGGGCGCCGGGGTGGCTCCTCTAGCCGTGGAGCCTGCAGCGCCTCCCGCGCCCGGCCGCGCCGCGCTGACCCCGGGGCACAACCCCTGCCAGGCTGGAGGCCAATAACTCTAGCGCCCAGTGAGTGAGTGTTCCGATGCACTTGTGCAAGGGGCTGGGAACCAACACGCTCGTGCTGCTGCGAATGCCACGAAGGCCCGTGCGAGAGAGAAACAACGTGTGAGTCAACGTTTTCGCTCCCAAATTTCTTTCATACTGCTTAAAAATTAAATGTCAGTTTAAAAACTCAATGATGACTTTTTAAGAGTAATGCGTTGTTTTGAAATATTTGCTAAACGTAAACAACTCTTTTGGGTGCTGCATTTACTCTCCCATTTTGAAGGGTTTAGTTTTCCATAAAGTCAACGAACTATTTTTTTAAAGGCAGTTAACGAAAAATAATTGCGTATATGAGTCGACAGTGTTATATTCGATCCTTTCGCAAGCTAGATAAAGAAGGTCAGAATGAGGCTGGTCGTCGGGGTGAAGGCCGGATAGTAGAGCCTTCCAGACGGCGGGAGGCGGGGAGGGCGAATGTCAGAGGAGCACCGGTACCTGGACAGCAGACTGCAGCAGACACACGAGGTCCAAGCGGCCCCGATGCACTGGGCACCTAAGCGCAGCTCAGCTCTGCGCACTCTTCGAGAAATGCGCATGCTGGCTTGTGAATCTTACCGAAGCCAATCAACTATACTAAACTAGGGTAATGTTCCGTTGTGTGGCTTTCCAATGCAAAGTAGTTCTCTCTCTCTCTCTCTCTCTCTCTCTCTCTCTCTCTCTCTCTCTCTCTCCAGAGGTAGGCAACCGGCCCTGATCCGCTGCACCTCGCAGCAATATTTTTCCTAACAGGTTATTTTATCCATTAGGTCACAATTATTTCTTTTATGGTCCCAAAGAATGATCTCTGTGGTAGGTGCCGTAAGGGACCCTCTCACTCCGCTCGTTCGTAGCCATCATTTGATTCATCCATTGTATACTTATGACAGTCCCTAGATTTACCCTACTGATTTTAATGTACCTTAAATGAACAAAAATAACTAAATGATCTTTAGTCACTTTAAGAAAAAAATTGACCTAGGTATACTGTCTATCGGTGTGACCAATTTTAGAAAACTTGAAGTCAAACATTAAAATGTTATGTTATTAAAACCGATAATGTAATGCATTTTTACAACCGCGTATCTCTTTCGCTCCTCCTGCCCTCTTATATGCATTGTATAAATATATACTCCCCCCCCCCTTTTCCCGGTCTTTCTATCTGTCTCTCTTTCTCTCCCTGTGCCTGTATCTCTCCATCTCTCTCCCCCCCTCCCCTTGTCCTTCTCCCTCCTCTCCCAGCCCTGCTCTTCTCCTGTTTCATCAGTGCGCCCGCCGGAACTGAACGACAGTCCTGCAAGCCTCGTTGCATTCACATCTCCGCGAGCCACAGCGGAGCCGACTTGGCCTTGCCTCTAAACAATCGCCCTGGCCTGGCCGGGGCGCCGGGCCGGGAAGGGGAGGGGGGGGGGGGCTGCGGCGCGCGACCAGCGAGTAAAACTCTGGATGCGCTCGCAATTGTGCGTAAGTGCATGTGAGTCGGTGGGCTTAGCCCCTGGGGAATAGCTGCGACATTTTCTTCTTGGGAACAGGCGAGTTTTGATTGCGTGCGATTTATTCGCGCTGTACAAATTAATGCAACAATCGTACGGGAACTTGTCTCTTGAAGTATGGATTTGAGTCCACTCGGCGCTGGCCGAAGCTGGCTGATGCGCGGTGCGACACAATTGGGGTGGGCCTGGGGATTTTAATTTTCCGTAAAATTATCTTTTTCCAGATTTTTATTTTAAAATTTGTAATTTTTTTCTTGGTAGTTTCACATTGTCCCCCCTTTTCTTAAAATTTTACGATTTTTCTGGAAAAGATTTAAAAACAAAATCGTCTCTAAAATCCCTAGGCGAGTCGCGGGCCAGCGTGCCCCCTGGGCGTGCCCGGCACAGCCCGGCAGAGCCCAGCAGAGCCCGGCGGCCCGCCCGGCGGCCCCCCGTAGAACAATTGCAGGCCGCTGAGTAATTAGCATGCAGCTCCTCCTCTCGCATTGCAGTGTGGCGCGCCATGGCGGGGCGGGAAGGAATTTCGGCACCGGGTTGCCAAACAAATACCGTATGGACGACACTAACGATGGCCGGCAGCTCAAGATCAGACTGGAAATCCAAGTGTGCGAGTGCGAAGGCCGCTTTCGCTTACCTGCAGCTTAGTGAATTCACAATTTCTTAAGAAATTCACTCACCTGCAGGTGTTCGACCAAACATTCACACACTTGTCTTGTAGTTGAGCGAAAACATAGCCTAGCCATTTTCTCAGCCCAAGTATGTGAATATGGTCATTGACACATCTGGAGGTGTGTACATGTTCACCCAGAGAATTGGAGAGCTCTAGCATCCATCGCATGGTTACTTCACGGACAGTCATAATATGGTTGAAAATTAACAATCATACAGTTATCAGAACCATATCTTAGTTCAAATGCACATTTTTTTGTAGCCTCAGAAGTAAACGTACGATAGTTGCTCCTTGGCCGTCCAGATTTCCATTATTCTGTGTGCATCTATCGCACACCAACAGGTGTGTGTGTGTGTGTGAATTTTTTCACTCACCTTCAGGTGCGCGACATAACATACGCACACTTAAACGTCCAGTGCAGACGGCAGGCATGCTCGCGGGCTGGCGGCTGTAACCCGCGACGAGAGGAAACGTAAACTACTTGGTCTAGCAGTCCCCATTCTCACGGAGACACGTCGTCGGAAGACCCGGTTAAGCTCGAGGTTCCTCCTGATCTCACAATCAGGCTCGACCCGACCACGACCTTAGGTTTCTCTCAGTTCTACCTGGCCTTAGGTTTTACTTTCCTTTAGTAACATGAAACTATCGTTCGGCGGTCTATCGACCGATAGTTTCAAGTTAGCAAATGTCAGCCTGCAGGGTAAGCTCAGATTTTTCTGGACTGTGGTGCCTTCTGCGGTTAAACTTGGGGTCTCCACCGGATTGGTTCACTTTTCAGGTTCAAACAGTGTTGCGCCTGGGATTTCACATGTGTCTGCTACCCGCAGCTACCCCTACGCTGTAGCAGTGCCGGGCTTGGGGATTCATACCTGTGTCTGCTACCTGAGGTTCCTCCTAAGGCTTAGGGTCGCCCTGTTCACGCCCTCGTCTGTTCCAGTGGACGTCCACCTCGCTGCCGCAGGTGGCCGCGCGCATGAACGCGGCCGCCTACAAGGTGGAGTCGGAGCCGACGGGCAGCGTGCAGTACTCGTACGTGTCGGACAGCACCACGGCCAGGGGATCGTCCACCAAAGCCGCGGACAGCGTCGGAGCCGCGAGCTCCATCAAGAGGCTGGCCTCGGACGATGACGACGACGCCGCCGGGGACGCCGAGTACAAGGAGTACCAGGGTGAGTCCGCCGCACGGCGTCGCGTGCCGCGTGTGAACAAGTGTACAACGTAACCTCTCTTCCCGTTCCAGAGGAGATCTTAAGTAAAAACAAAACAAGGGACTAAACGCTTCGATCGAAGGGTAAATAACTAGCGTAATAATTCGTACACCCTGGCGTGTAATAACCACGTAATAATTTTGAAAAAAAAAATGGTAAAATAAAATTTTAAAATCAGCTGTAATAACGTAAATATGGATATTAAGATACCCCAAAAGGAGCGTAATTGCGCAGTTAATAATGCGTGATAACCTTATAAAGGTGGATCTCCAATGGAGCAATCTACGCTACCCATCACCCATCATCCGTCACCCATCACTTGAGATTTCGTGTTTTTACATCGCGAAATACAATCATGAGGTGTATAGTCATATTAATTGTTCACACACATTTCAAGTCTTAACCACAACCCGAGTTGTACGCGTAAATACACGAAATCGCAGGTGATGGGAGACGGATGATGGGTGATGGGTAGCGTAGATTGCGTCATTGGAGTTCCACCTTAACTTGTACACTTGTATCGCGATTATTGACGACTCGCTCGTCTCAAGAGCGTACAGTACCTGTCCAGCACTCTTGGTGAAGAAACACGCGCTCACACAACACTGGAGTCGACAGGCATTGCCAGAGAAGAGAAGATTGGTGGTTCCGATATCAGAGGAAAAGGATCGTTTATCGTTTCGGCACGTTTGGTTTGGTGCCTCTCTTCCCAGGAGTGGGACGTGCCAAGAGTCGATTTAACCCAGCTTTTGGCGCGCAGGACTACCGGAGCGGAGCGGGCCGCCCTTCACCTTGACGCGCTCGGGTGGCCACGGGCCGGAGTCAGTCTACGCAGAGGGAACCCGTTCTGGATCAGGTTTACCGTAGACAACCCCCATATACCGCCGTGTAATTTTCACTGAAACCGTTTCAAAATGTCAGGTTGACTCTCTACAAAGCACAGCGGAATTCTGCTGCTCACGGTGGCGGTGTGTTGGAGCCATCGAGTAAATTAAAGATGTACGGCAGAGAATCGAGACACGGTACGACGACGCCGTCAGTAACTTGAAGCCTCCGCCCGCCCCGCCGCGCGCCGTTCGAAACAACACAACACCTCCACTCTACACCAACGTAATTGAAAATCAAGTGAGGCGATCCTCCCAGCTGACCTTTCGTGTGCGCGCGCCGTCGCGTCCGCCCCCCTCCCCCCTTCCCGCTCGAGCAGCCCGTTCACTTCCTTCCTTCCTTGCGATTCTTCGGCTGCATTCGCAACGACATTACCCGCGATTTTCGGACGCATCTGGATCGTCACGCCCGCCTGGGCACCCGCCAAAACAAAGCGAGCAGTGGCGTCCGAATCGCGCCTTCCTTTCTCTCAGCGGCGGGAGGGAGAAGGAGAGAGAGAGCGAGGGAGAGGGGGGGGGGCAAAGGGAAGGGCAGACCGCTGCGTGTTGTTGCAAGGCGGCGGCGGGACGGCGGGAAGCGCGCGGAAATCGGCAGGAGATCGGTGCGACGCGTTTCGTCACGCGTTTAGGAGCGCGCGCGAATACACACACACACACACACATACACACACACATACACACACACAGTGGCGGACGCGTACATCAGCAGTAGCAACTAATAGAAGAACACGACCATAGCTAGAAAAGGCACGTTTACAGGGCTGGATCCAGCTGGGTCGACCCAATGAGGTTTGTTTTGCTCATGAGTTGGCCTCCTGAAATGTAAATTAAGTGTTCTACATCTAGTTTAAATCCATATATTTCTTTTGCTTATCAGTTTATCACATGTAAAAACCGGCAAAAACACAAATTTTGCATTGGCTGCCTAAAACTCTGCCAATCCTTTGCATAACAGAACGCACAAGTATTTAGATGATAAGAGTTCTTTTGGCATGAAGTTTACAAAGCAGACTGTAGTACTTCCGCTAAAGACACTGGATTAAAGATTAAACATCACTACACTGATAAATCAAGAGCGAGACATTTTCATACTGTCTGCCTAAGGTAAAGCATTAGCGCTTCACATTTCCTACAATAGAAAACATTTCGTGCCCCACGTCCGGTTGAATGAATCTCGCGGATTTATCTTACTGTACCTAGAAGTAATTTTCTAAATTAGCTCTTTCGTAGATTTTCTATCCACCTTATTACCGACCCTGTCATTTCTGACCGATACGTGCCGACTCGTATCGATACGTTTCAGAATTCGGACAATCTCAAAAAGGTACTGGCTTTGCCTATTTAGGTTATTGAAATAGATTCGGTCTGTTAGGGACTCGCCGGGCTCAGCTAAAGGGGCTCCACTTCTTCTCCCCTTGAGAGAATTGTTGGAGCGCCGCATCTAGGGATACATATCACCCTGCGATGTTTGACTGAAAAGTACTCTTGCCTAAAGATTTGTTACTGAGCCCATCCAATGTCTTGACATAACAACTACCGTTGAGGATCACAAATATCTTTGACGTTGTTTCTTGTAAGAATGTTGGCTCCTTGGAAAAATAACTAGTTCAAAATCGCCAATGTTGAAAATGTTAGTGCTTCCATACTCAAGATTACACAAATATGAGCACTAACATTTTCAACATTATCTGTAGTGCCTCAAAATATTTTTCATACATCATCAAAAATATAGCTGCAGTAGCAGCAAACTGCATAGCTCAGACTGTAAATCACTTTGTTAAGGCAGATAAGAGATAGCTGTAACGACAGCAATATTTTTGTTAACAAAAATTGATATTAATTTTTAGCAAAGAAAAATGGAAGGCGTCATTTACAACTCATCCAGATAGTATAATAAGTTTTGTGAGATGGAAATTTTTTAATTCACCCGGACCATGGCCGAACTCCACGGCAGTTCGCTCCAGTGCCTGCTTTACAGTCTGCGAGTGATTTGGAGTCGGTTTTTAGGTTACGGACGATACTGACGGACTCGCTAGGCTCTCTTCCTGTTAGAGACGATGACTCGAGGCTCACGGTGATCATCTCGCCTCAAACTCCTCGTGACGACACAGGCTAAGTATACCAGGAGGTAACGACGGACTGTAAGTACCACGACTGCTGTTTGTAATCTGGGAACGAGCGGGAGGGTTTACCGGGAGCTTATTCGTCCCAATTGGCCCGCGATCACTGATCCCATCCCACGGCTGACCTGACTCCTTACCGTCGGTATTTGCGTGTGTCTTGGAAGTTGAGCTGGCCGCCGTGTTCATCACGCTGATGCTTCAGCCCAGCGTGGCTCATAATTTCTGCAAGCTCTGCTCCCATACCGCAATAATAACAAACGAGGCTGCTGACTTAAATCTCTTCTCCCTGACAACGACTATCGAACACATGAAATGCCATGGTCGCCGCTGCAAAAGGACGCATGGACATCCCCCTTCGTTGCGCCGCTGCCCCATCGATAGGTGTGTTTGCTCTCCAGGGACGCTGGACGGTACTGCTCTCAGCCCAATTCAAACACACGACTCCGTGTGCACGGTGCCCCCAGCACCGCTCTAGTGCAGCAGCAGCACAACAGCAGCAGCAGCAGCACAACAGCAGCAGCAGCAGCAGCAGCAAAGAATTTAATATTCATCATCCAGTTTCCTGGCGCTTTTTCTTCACCTGCTACCTATACTTCTGGGCTAGTTAATGATCGCTCTAGGTCCGGGTCGGGTCGGCTCATTATTGAGCTCACTTAAACTGGTCCCGTTGATAAGTCAAGATGCAGATCGGCGCCGCCGTGCGCCGCCTGGACCACATAGGTGTATGACCATTTGTCATCGTTTACTAGCCGATCCATCAAACGTGCCGCGCTTTTCGCCCGACCCCTTCTCCCGACGAGGTTGATTGGTGGAGTGGCGAAAACTCCTTGACGAACCAGTCACTTCACTGTGGCACTTATTCACAAAGTGTGCAATTAGAGCAACAGATTTGTAATATTTCTTGTACATAGGAGTTCTGTCATTGCTAAAATAACTGTCGTCACTGTACTCATTTTTCATTTAACAAAAAAGTTACAAAAAAATATATATAAATTTGAAACCTTTCCGGTAAGCACGTATGTTTAACGGTGCACTACTGACCTGCTGTATCGAGGTTAGGTCAGGGTCTAGGGGAGGAGGGGCGGGCCGGCCGGGCCGCCCTGGCCGTACATAACCGCTGTCGGTCACCTACCAGCGGCAGGCCGCCACCCCCCACCCCGCGCGTGTGTGAGTGTGATATGCAGAACAATCGAAGCTCTTCCCCGCTGTAGCAAGCGCCAACGCCACTCTGCCTGTTACGCGAGCAGCAGCTTCCACCACACCGCCACCATGCTCATTGTTGTCGCACTCTATCGTTTCTCTTCTTTTTCTTTCGTGTGAATATTTTTCGCGGCAGAGAGAATGAAAGTGAGGGGAGGTGGCCCGGAAGAGCGCGCATCGCACACTCTTCCGGCGGTGTCACTGCGAGGCTCAGCCGTCCCATCGCCGAGTTTGCTCCCCTCCTTCAATCCGAATTCGTAGCTAAAATAAGACAACTGATTGGTGACTGGGCAGTTACTTCGGCTGTTACATATATTTCATAAATTTAATTACATGATTTTGAGTCATTTACAAGAGGTTTTTATTCATACGTGATCTACATTTACTTCCAAATACCGTTTGGTGTAATATTTTCCTGGCATATATGCGTCCTTATGTGTAGTGCCCTCGGTTTTGTAGCAGAAAAAAACGAACATTTTACTTGGGAGCTGAATGCGCTTTTGTACAAACTGCTTCGCTGCTTTAGGCATTTTCAGTCCAACCACAAATTAGATTGATGCTAATCGCATATTGAAAGATAAGGCGGTTCAGTGGCAGCATTTTTACACCCCCCCCCCCTCGAACAGAATAATTTGCTAACCTGGCGGCATGTCCGCAACCCTTTCTTTCTTTTTCTGGTCGCCGTGTTGGCAGGCGTCATGGGTCGACCCGGTGTGGACTTCCCTGTGCTCCCCGCCATCCCCCAGACGAGCTTCAGCTGCCGCAAGGTCAAGGGCGCCGGATACTACGCCGACCTGGAGACGGACTGCCAGGTAAGTGCCGGAGTATACCACGATCATTAAAAAAAAAGCAAGTCAATTAAAACTAAGCAAAGCTACTCGTCGCATCTCTTAACCACCTTGCACGTGCACGAATCCTGACTGCACTCGTCACAGGTCCAAACCCCACCCCCACCCCACCTTTCTTCTTCCCCACAGTTCCTTCTTTGGCAGTCAATGATGATTTTAGCGGTTGGCTTTCCCTACCGTGTCAATGGTCGATAACTTTGTCGTGACGCGACTGATAAACTCCGAGGAGCAGTAGTTGTAAGTTGTAAAAGCTGAGTACCGGCGAAAGTGACAACGTAAAGGATGCCACCCATGTGCTGAGCTTTGCTGCGCACACAGGGCTGAGCTGGGATCCATTAAGGGTCATTGCCTTCGCGCAATAAAGGACCGTGACAGCGAAAGATCAGCCGCTTTTTTCGCGTATATGGCCCTAATAAACCTAAAGCCAAAAGGAAAAGGGTGATGATTTTTATTGTGACATTTAAAAGGCAGGAGTATAAACAGGAAGCCAAGTAGGAGGCACGAAAGTTAGTTTGGTGGATAAAGTTATGTTCGTTCTTTACCACTTTTGCCAGCTACCGTATCTATCTGATTGTCATGGTCGTCATTATGTAACGTAAAATGGCTGTTAAGACGTTTTGTTAGTAACAAATATTTTGTCGCACTATTTCGTACTTCTCACCTGATTGACACCTTAAATGACCCACTTTAAAAAGATAGGTATGATAAAAATATGATGTAATATGAACAGAAAGTTTTCTCGGTTTCTGTTGTTTAGAGTTTTATGGTCAAACCGTCTTTAGGCGTACGTTGCTATTTTGTAAAAATGTTCTAAACTCATCTCTAGTACCCATAATTAACAAAAACAAGACAGGCATGAAACACAAAATTAATTTTGTGCGCGAGGAAATAAACTCGTTTATTGTCTTAAATTATCGCCCTTATTGTGATTGGGGAATCCAGTAAGTACGTGCATAATTTGCGGCAACGAAACTGCCGTCAGTCAGCCAATGCAAGCTTTCAAAGCACCCGATAGGTAGGCAACGTCGTGCCTGAAGTGCATGCGTGTAGTGTGGGTGGACTACCCTGAGTCTCGCAGGCGCTTGGCTCCCGTAAATTACAAAAAGATGCCATTTTTGTTTTTTTATTTTGTCTTTATTTGTTTTTCAATCACCCCATACCGTAACATACTTTGACTTATATAAAATCATTAAAAAAAACCTTGTTTGAATCTAAGACGATACTCTTGTTTTTACCTCATAAAGAACGAAGGAACGAATAAAACTTACACGGTCACGGTGATCAAACATATGCAAATTTTACAGATCGCGGATTTCCGTAGTTGTTTCAATGGGTAGGAAGAGTATGTCTTGCAAACCTCCTCCCACACCTTTCGCCGCGTCCGTGCCTTGGAAGTTGGAAGAGTGGAATAAGAGGGGGGGGGGGGGTCAGTGGGAAAGGAAAGGGAGGGGGGACCGGGCAGCGTTCACTTGACCGAGGTCCATCCGTCAAAACTACCCGCTCCCTCTGCTCAGCTCCGCGACAGTAATTACATCGACCTGCAGGCGGGGCGTGACTGCTGGGGGCGGCGCGACGGGACGTGCCTGAAAGTAGCGAGCAGGGGAGGAAAAATGTAAACCAATAGGGAAAAGGGGTCCAGGCCGAGAGCTCCATGGATAGGAGAGCGAGAGGTCGAGTGCCACCTTTCACAATTTACTACATTTGTAAATTTACGGCTTTTTGTTGGAAATTTGCGACATCTGCTTGTCGATCAAATCCAAGTTGATACAAAGTGAAAATTTCTCTGTAGGTTACAGTACCTAGTCTAGGTACAACTGTTACCTCCTCACAGACAAATGTGTATCTAATGAAGATATGCACAAGAACACATACCTACGTACAAAAACTGTCCCTCCCTATTTCGAGAGAATGCAGGTATTCGCGTCGGTGGTTGGGTCGGGTGGCAGGTTGCGAGAGGCGGGCTGGGTGAGCGGGCCACGGTGCCACGGTGTGAGACTGCCGCGAGCTTTACGGCGCAATCATGTTCGGGAAGCCTCAGTTTGTGCTGCTCCCGAAGCGTTTGGCTAATTTATGTCTGGCTTTAACGGTCGGCGCGAGATAGTTTGGGAGCTCTTCCCAGCGGTATTTGGAAGGGGGTCCCTTTTCACTGTGTTTACATTTTAAAGTAGAATGCACCCACGTTAAAACTGACCAGATAGTATAAAAGCCAGAAAATACGAGAAAGTCAATTTTAAAAATTGAAGTTTATTTCATGAGTAGCGCTGTTGTTATAACCGCTTTCTAAATCTGTGCAATGTAAAAACTCCTTGTCTCAGGCATGAGTCTAGATAAACACAAATGTCCGCAAAAAGTCTAAGGACACTTGGCTAAACATTATACTCATGTATACTTTATGTTTATTGCAGTATTTTAAGGCATCATCTGCTAAAAAGAGTGTATGAGCAAAAATATAGCACGGATCTGAAGTACTTTTCTTCGCCAATAACCGTGACCCCCTAATAATCTTCGAAGCAGAAGAAGTTTGAACGGCAACCGAGACAGGCACAGTGTTGCTCGGCTTTGCCATTTCAAATATCCTATCTCTTTATTTTTTGCCGGCGCCGGCTCGTCTGAGGCAGGCGCCACACATCACTTGGCTGGGGTCAGAGGTGGCAGAGGTTGGGGTAGGAGGGGGGGGGGAGAAGGGGAGTGGTAAAGTGTCTCCCGCCGTCACAACAAAGTGCCTACACCGCCAGCAAAAAAGAGACGAAAGTGAAAGGGGGCGACGGCCACGCACTTTGAGATTCATCGGAATTTAGAGTGCACGAGGCATTTGGCGCTCGCATTGTGTTCAGTTAAGGGGAGCGAGAGAGGGAGAGGAGGCGGAGGGCCGAGAAGAGGCGAGCGGCAGAGATGGGGGGGGGGGGACTGACAACTGTTCTACACTTCAAGACGGTTGTAATCCTGCAGAAAGTGGACCCCGAAACAATTCCAATATTCTCGTGTCGGTGGCCGAGCGGCGCGCGGCTGAGCAGCGCTCAGAGTTGGTGGGACTCGGCCTGCCCTGACCTGCCCCAGCGCAGCCGAGCCTCGGCCGGCCCAGCGGTCCAGCGCCTCGCGGCGCCTCGGGGCGTCCCCCCGCCCGCCAAAGAGGAAACGAGACAGAAGAAAAATTGAGAACCAGATTTTGTTTTATTTTTTTCCCCACCGCGGATGATGGCTTGCGGTTCGCGCCTCGATTAGACTGACCTCCCCTTTCCCCTCCTCAGCTCGGGACGGGCTATACATTTTGCTCTGCAGGGAGGGAACAAATGCACGGCCATCGACAACTTTCCCTGCCGCGTCAACACACGTAACTGGATCTATCGGACGGGCGCGCGCACGCACGGCCGCGGCACCGGCGACCCTCTCGACGGGAAGCTGTTCCGGGCCGGGACCCGGGACCCCGACGTTGTCGTCGGCGCAGCGACCCTCTCCGGGCCCGCGGGGCGGGCGCACGGCGTCCGCGGCGGCGAGGATCAAACGGTGGGGCTTTAACCAGAAAGAAAACTAATGTGCATTGCTCAATGCGATGCTCGGTAACATTCCTGTGGAGGGACGGTCAGTGCTTCGCCCAGCTTGGCCCCGCCGGCCGCGCCACACCACCGTGCCCGTACCATTCATCCATTCCGCATCCTCTGCCAGGAAATTGGCCAACAAACTCCTTCGCCGCCGGCCGCCGCCCCCCGCGCCCCGCCCCCAGCGGCACCGCGGCCTGCCCGTCCCGTGGGGCACACCACTCCGGCCGGCGGCGGCAGGGGCGGCAGGGGCGGCGGTTTGGACTCGTGAATAATGCAGGAGAAATGGCGGAGAAAGAGAAGCCGGCCCGCCCCGCTCGGCCCCGCCCCGCCGCCGAGGACGTACCCATACATCTTATCGTCTGCAGCAGCATGGGAGATCCTTATTTGTTTCCCGCTGCTGCGACGATCGTGACTCCGAGTCCCGTGTGTTACAAATACCGCGTCCTGCTGTCCCCCGCGTCAGGGGAGCCCTCCCCGCTCTCTCTGCCCCCCCCCCTGTCTCTCT